ACGCAAGCATAAGCCTTCAAGGTCCAAGTGGATACGAGCGAGGCTAAGCTCTCCAAGCATCACGTACTGCCGCCTGTGATCCCAAGTCCCTAGAGGGATTCGATGCTTTGGGTCGATGTTCGCACGTACAGAGAAGTTCTGGCCCTTCATTTGTTCTTGCATGTGCTTTGCGATATCAAGTGGAGTTCCAGCAGATTCTGCCGCTTGGCGCAGGAAGGTATTGAACTGTGAAATAGTGGGAGGCAAAGAATCCAAGGGATGAATGTACGGTTCCAACTCGCGATGTATAAGTATTCCGCCGCTGTTTAAGTTCCTATAGCATGAACGGTATATTTCCTTCCAGTCCTGAACCGTACCCAGTAAATCGCTCAAAAGTATGATATCCCAGCGTTCACAGGATTCGAATGCTTCTTTGAAATCTCCGACGTAGAAACTGACCATTTGCGGCGCTTTCCGTTTCCAAGAAGTTATGGTGTCCCAGCCGCGAACCTTCGCGTTTGGATATTTCTCGCTCGCCAAGGTGCACCATGTGCCCGTGCCGCAGTTAATATGCAGAATGCGCCGTACGTCCTGCAGCGGCGATGTGACAGTCAAGTCATCATTTGCGAGAAACTGCCAAATCGCACTGGAGATTCGTGCCGCTTGTTCAGCTTGGGAATCCTGGGGACGCAGGATCGGAAGAGAGTTTTCATCCCTGTGAGGTGGAAATTCTCGTCCGTACTCGTGCATGCCTCTCTCCAAGTCTTCAGGAATGTTTTCGAATGTTGACTCAGATCCGGGTGATCCTGGTGATGGGGCATGCCGCTCCATGGTGGATTGAGAGCGAATTCGCGAAGAGAACCAAACCCTCGAAACCGGGCGTATTTAAATAGCAGTCACGGCCTGCTGGGTAAATGCGACTGGCATTAGCAATTGGCTGCTAACAATACGCTGATCAGAAACCGCGCTAGCCTCAAAGCGGCGTTACCCGAAGACAGAAAACCCCAGTCCAAGTCCAGTTCCTCCCGTGAGTATCATGCATGCATAGGAAGGTGGTAGTGGCTAGTGCCCAGTGGCCCTGCATTATCGGCCTGTCTTGCTTGCACAAGGCTGCGCCTTCATGAATCGTAAGTCTTGCTTCAAATGGGGCGAGTGGGCGACGGCGGCACCTTTAACGTGGAGGTCTTCAAGCGCCGTCTTCCAGCATCTATCGCCAATGTATGAAGTCATTGGATGCCTTGTATACTGTATTTGGACAAAATCGTTGCCTATCTCCATATAGTGGCCCCCAATGAAAGGGAAGATATGGAGGCACCCCCGAATTCATCACAGCAATAACGCCGCCCTTACAAGAGAGCCAACTATGGCAACTATAGGTGTATAAGTATCTTTCTGATCCCCCCGAATGTTATAAAAATATCGTGAGAATGCCACAACAACTTGACCCCCCACCCTCAGCTATTTCATCCCCGGCTATGGTATCTCCCGGCCAGTAATTCAGACGAATATTCGGTTCCTTTGTGGGCCCGATGCAATCGTCAGGTCATATACCCATAAGGTGCGTGTAATTCTCCACACTAAGCCTGAATAAGACTGAAAGTCGTAAGGATTGGCTTTCTGTTGACCACATCTGGCGCGTGCTTGACACGGGTATGTGTGGACTTTGCAATTTGGAGACAGCACGCTAAGATGCCCTAGGAACAAATCGAAGATCTCAAAAAATCATCTGAGGCTTACGAAAAAATGCAGGCTGGCGGGGTTGATGACTGTTTTATCAATCAGCCAATACCAGTCTACCGTCGCAAATGAGCATATGCATATGACCCTCTGCTGATATTATGGATGGGTGGAGAGAGCTGAAGGCTTTATTGCATTAGTCTTGCTGCCTGCATGGTGGCGTCGTCGGACGAGAATGAGGTGGCCTTGCCAATCCCAACTTGTTAGAGATGAAATGGAACCATTTGTCACAAAGATTCCTTAATCATGCCAATTTGAAATGAAAGCCCTCTCAATCCTTTTGATTGACGCCCCGGTGTGAGCGTATTCTGTGTTTGACAGTTTTTTTTTTTTTTTTTTTTTTTTTTTTTTTTTTTTTT